AAAAAGAGTTTGGACCAATTCATGAAAGTTATGGAGATCAATGGCTATTAGCCTTGATGGCAGTGTGACTGCCTCTGAAGGCCATCTGCTGGGAGACTAGTATGATTCCTTGGCCACTGAGAGAACAGGCTGCTTGTCTAGATGGGCTAGGGGTCCATTGCAGCAGGGCAGTTCTTGAGTTCTTATGACATTATGAAAGGTACAGTTAGTAGGGCCATGAATAGGTATCCTTATTAACAACGTTTCTCACCTTAAGTGTTATTTCCAGTTTGCTATTTGCTTCAGTCTACTGTGCAAAATAAAACACCATCTTATGTAACTGTCTCTGATAATTGTATAAATTTCCAGTAGGTTGTTTACTTAATTTCTGCTCACTGGAAAATGCCTTAGCTAATTCCAGCTATGAAAGTAAGCCGATCTGGTGGAATTTAGCCAACAGCTAGATGAAAGTCATATGAGAATATTTTATTACAATTCTTTGCTTCTTTGTAATCTAAGCCTCTCCTTAGTTAGCTGAAGACCTGTCATGCATTGGCTTTGTATTTGAAAAAATGTGAGACTGAGCAAGCTCTCCTACTACTGACAACTCCTTAATTAAACTCTCCACATTTTTCTTGCCCTTAGCTGATTCTATTGGCTAATCAAATCCTAATTAAAGGAAAAATTTCCCCAAGAGCAAGGTGTACAATAGAGTTCAATGTATACAACTGTATCTGGTAATTAAGTGCTAACACCTGTCAAAACGAGTTTCTTATGTACATGAAGAAATCAGTTCAGATTAATTGGAAGGAATTACATGACCATAGTTAGATGCACACACCCTTGCTGCCTTTGTATTTCTTTTGTCTAAAAAGAAATATTCAGGAAACACTCTTTATCTTTATCTGAAATATCAAATCACTCTGTGTCAGTGTACATGTCTAGCACAACAATGGCTGAAACCTGACATTGCTAAAACAGGGTGGGAAGCAATCATAGATATTCCTGGAATAGGTGATGTGGTAAGAGAGCAGCAGTAACCACAGAGTAAACCTTGTATTTTGAATATGTACATGTTTAATTATATGTCATTCACAAACATTTGTACTGAAATCCTGATGGCCTCGTTCCTTAATGAAAGCTGTCAGATTTGTTTCCAGTTCTGTTCAACTTGGAAGAGAGAACTGTTCTGGAAATAGAATACTGAACCTTTCTCTGGCCAATCGCTTCCTTTCTCATAAGGCTTCACATGAATAAAATCTGCAAATGTTAAACTGGGGTTTATTTAATCATTGTTTATTGAATAAATTGCAGCTGACTGGTTCATACATTTTACTAAGCCATAAACCATAGTTTACAGACTACAACGGCTGGGTTTGTGTAACATGCTAAATCAAATCCAATCAAACCACATTTTGGCTCAGCATATTGTATAATCCAGACCTTATGGTGATATACAAATCTGGGAACTGGTTCTGAAACATCTGCATTGAAATTCCTATGATCTTGTCAGAGGATCTTGAGATACAGTTTCTCTAATCACTCAATGGCTGCAAAGAGTTAAAAGAGAATGATATGCTTGAAGAAACCCTGTGTCACATAGCAACAAAAATGTTTCACTACAAAATAAAGACAAAATTTCTTGAATCTTTCTCTCCTGCTATATGAGGTCTCCAAATACGGTAAGCAAAAAGATAGCCAAACAAATGTATGTCAGAAATAAAATAATGCTTTCAGCAGAGAAGTGTAGAAATGAGTTTCAGCTAAACAGATTAGGAAGCTGGTGGCTGAGTGGGGATGCATTCAAGACAGCAAATTGTAAGGGAAGGAGAAGGGGTCATATGTGACCAGAAACGACAGGTGTTTAAAATTAGTGGGAGAATTTGAATAAAAAGTGAAAGTTTGGGGAGAAAAGTGATTGTAAAAATGGCAGACAATCAGCATAAAAATGCTTTGACAACCAGGTAGAGAGCTTGAAACTGGATTCAAAAATTGCAAGAAAAGACAGCCTGGAATAGGTCAACCCTGTTAACAAGCAGTAACAGAGACCATAAAATGAATCAAGACAACTCGGAAAGCAACCCTTAGGTAAAGGAGTGGCATTCTAATAAGTTGACTTCATAAGCTGGATCCATATCAGAAAATACTATAACAAGTATCTAAAACAACATTTCTAAAAACTTTGCCAGAAAATGCTTCTCATCGATCCTTAGTAAATTCTAGCTGTTCATAATAAGCTTCTAGGCAAGTCCTGGTACTGAAAACAAATTTCAGGAGTGACCACATCATACAGAAGCCTTGGGATGTAGTTAGTATTCCTCCACACTCTAAGCCTCCTGCAACTTCAGGCATAACCCAAAACTAGTTGGTGAAGTTGGAAACTGCAGTCCCAACATCACTGTAGGATACCAGTTTAGATAAAATTCCACTATTTTCTTTAAGAATTTGACATTGTGAGTTTTGTTACAAACCTTATACAAATATATTAATCATTTTTTAAAAATCTATTAAGCTTGTAAACTAATTGGGTTCATCTGAAAAAATATATTACCAATAAAACTCACTGAATATCAAAATATGTCTCTTCTAGTTTATAAAACTGGAAAATCCATTTAAACTGAGGATACATTTCACAGACCTGTGGACATATTCTGATTTTTTAAAAGTAAACTTACAGCTAAGGGAACACCTATATAAGGGCATGTGTGCGTTGTATCTGGTTTGGCCCGTCAACTCTCTGCAGCTATGAAAGTACAGCCCTAAATTCAGAAGACAAACTTTGAAGTGAAATACATGTCCTCAGGGAAGCCTGCTGAGAGGGGGCTCTCTAGCTTGAACTAGCCCTTAAAGACTCATTACATCAGAAGCCATCAAGATTCAGAGAGGCATT